TCCATTGCATAGTATTTCCCAAACAAATTTTGCGAAACATACTACACATACATACACACCTACCTGGTGTTGGTGAATAACAAAATAATAACGTCAAAAATTATGAAATTTGTTAGAAAATGGCTAATGGTTAATGGTTTCTATTAATTGCAAAATATTAAGAATTATTATTAATGTTTTAATTGTTCTATACTTCTATCAAAGTGGTAATAATGAAAGGAAAATTTATAATAAATATTATTTAAACTAATAATTTCTATTATATGCCAATTCATATATTGAATATGATAAGTAATCCAAAAAGGATTGAAAAACATTAAATTAATATTTCGAAGTTTGAGTGCTAGTTTTGAGAACCCTGTATAGTAGTTTTCCAGATATGTAGATAGGCAACAATATAAGCAGTAAAGCATTGATGTATGAAAAGCATACAGAGTGTTTTTTTTTATTACGTCTCGAATAGATAATGATTTTCTACAGAAAGTGTAGTCTGTAGATACACTTTTTTACTTCATATATATACATTTTTACGTTTATTAATATGTATAATATTACCTATTGCACTAAATTTATTAAATTTCGCATTTGATAGTTAAAAATACCATAAAAAGAAAACATCATTCGTAAATGGTCATTTATTTTGCAATTTTCCAATTAAATTATGACTTATTTTCTTACATAAGCATATATATATAGCGTTGAATGTAAATTAGTTTACTGTTAAGTTAAATTCACGTTATTATTAAGAAAACGTTTGATTAGATAATGGTACCTCCTCCATATGGCGATTTGGGAAAACAAGCAAGAGGGATTTTTAACAACGGCTACCACTTTGGTTTGATTAAGTTGGATGTGAATACTTCATCAGATACTGGGGTCGCCTTTAGTACTAATGGTACTTCAAATCAACTGACGGGAAAAGTTTCTGGATCTTTAGAAACGAAATACAAAGTGAAAGAATATGGTCTAACATTCTCTGAAAAATGGAACACGGATAATACTTTAGTTACTGGTATTTCCGTTGCCGACCAAGGTGTTAAGGGATTGACTGTATCAACAGATCTTAACTTCAGTCCCAATACAGGGTGAGTAATCGTCTGATATTTACGATAACGTGACTTTAGGCACTACCGTTTTTTATTAGAGATTACGCGTGACGTCATTTGCTTTTACGTCATAACAACCAGAAAATGGCGGCTAATGTTTCTTGTCATCAGAAATAGGTTATGTCGTACAGTAAGTTTGATTTAAGATAATTTATTTTCTATGAGCAGCAATACAATTTGAAAATACTTATTGTAATGACTTGGGTATTTTTATTAGATTTTATTAGAACTGATGCTCCAAAAGGTTCTGCTGATGGTTGGAGTATAAGTGTTATTCCTATCGTTACTTACAACACAGGAAATAAGTACGAAATTTTGAATAACAATTTCATTTTGTTAACCGAAGTTAATAATACAAAGTAAATTCATATCTAACAAGAAGTTGGCATGACAGATGTTTATTTTTTTAATTTATGCAAGCATTTACAGAGTATCTCAATTTTTTTTTTTGCAGGGACAAGTCTGGTAAATTGAAGACAGCATTCCAGAACGATAGAGTTGCAATCAATTTGGACTCCGACCTGTCAGCGCAGCCCGTTGTCGGGGCGTCTTTAGTGGTACAACACCAGGGATGGTTAGCTGGATATCAAACTGCTTTCAGCACGGAAAATTCTAAACTCACGAAAAATAACTTTGCACTCGGCTATTCTACTGCTGACTTCATCCTTCACACTAACGTGTAAGTAATTATTTCCTGGCCTGGCATTTAATATTTTTTTAATTACTATAAAAATCATTGAANTACTCCCAGTAAAATAGTCATGCAAAATCCCTCTTTTTAAATAAAATTTCTTTATAGTTTCAAAATAGAGTGAAACTTATCATCGTTTTTTTTAATCTTACTCTATCACTCAATGTTTAAAAAAATTAATATTTGCGTCTTAAAGCATAGAGATATACGAACAAAGCATGAGACTGGGCTAAAAAAATGCAGCATTACTTTAAAATGAGATAGCAAATTAATTGGGATTACTCTATCTCTGCCATTCGGTGTGTGTGTGTGGATTGGGCATTTCTGCTTGTATAAATAGTTGCTATGGAGATTAAACGAAGACACAGCGTCTCAATTAATTAAATTTCTCTTTTTAACCTTTTGCTCAAACGTTATATCTCTAAGTCACGCCCTCCAACAATAGGAAGCTGATCACAATCGACAATTCAAACGATTCGTAAATGTTTCCAGGATACTTACACAATACGTGGTCAAATTATCACGAACGTGGTTGTTTATACCGAACTATTTGTCGTAGTTGTTTGCCGATTTGTCGAGTGGTTGATTATTTCCTGTAAACAACGTCCGAACTCGACGATAATCTGTTGCTTCAATGCCTCCTCGTTTTGGCAGTTCGTTTCAGCATTGTCCGACATTGTTAACAAGCACTGAGTCGTTATTTCTATCACGTCGTCCGTTATCAAACTGAAGGCATGTCTAAAACAACAAGAAAAACTATTTTAACGATTGTTCCGCAAGGTATACAATGTGGACCACTACTTTTTAATATTATTTGCTTACTTGCTGCTTGAATGTCTTCTGGGCCTTATTTGAAGTATGTTCCTTGGAGGATTGATTTTGGGAACATTAGGGGGAATGTTATGGATAGGATGAGTCGGACTTGTCTGTACCTGCAACCCCTTTTTCTCTATCGAACTCTCTATATTACGACAACCGAAGCATTTGCAGTTACTAGAGCATGCTATCTTGGCCTAAAAATTAAAATATAATGAACAATGACAACGCAAACGTTTCGGGGAGTTTTAATTGCCTCATAACATTCACAATAGTTCTTCAGACACCCTGATCTTTTACAGTTGCACCCTTTTGTGTGTTTGCGCACTTGGGTATCTGTTCCAGTGTCCTTTGATTTCCCGATTTTCGGTCGAAAGGCGTTCGGGTTTCTTTCAAGGCAACTTTTAATGGCCAATTGTCGATGTTCCTCGTTCTCGAGATTGTTGAAGCAGTTCATACAGTTGCACATGTAACAAAATTCGCCGTTTGCGAAACAGTCGCAGTAAAGTTTGAGACACTGAGATTTGGTACAGTTGCACGGTTTACGGGGGCGCATGCCATTCGACTCGAGACTGTTCGTTTCGATTGGACTGGCCCCCGACGCGGCACTGTCCGATATCACGCTGGACGTGTTCTTGGGGAGGGTGGGCTTGGCCGGAATGGGCACTTTGGAGTTGGCACTTGCGCGAATGTAACTCGTCGGGAACATGAGAAGCTGCGTCGGAGGATTTGAGACTGAACCGATGTCTGAAGATCGAATGGCAGATGCTGTCACCACCTTGGCCGTTTTGGGAGCAATATTTGCGGTCGCACCAATATTCTAAAAATAACAGAATTATTTTAATCATAGAATAACAACAAAATCAACTTTATAAACAGATATCACAATGCTGAGGGGCAGCACATAAATAAAATAAAATTACACAATGAATATTAACAGTACAAAAATTCGCTTCGTGAGCAAATGTTGAGTAACAGGTACCTTGACCTCCGTTAGAACTCCTGCAACTTTAGTGGTGTTATTACTTGTTGCAATTGCAATCAGTTTACTTCCAGTTGTCCCTGCTGCAGAAGACAGTTTTGCGGTTGTAATCGTTCCTTGGGAAGATGAAGTTGATGTGTCGTTACTTGTCGAGGCAGTTACAAATTTTATATATTGGATCTGGTGGAAAAGATATAATTCAATATATTATAATAAGAATATAATTCAATAATGTAATAAATTAAATGAACAAAAAAATTAATGTGGTTCTAAAAAGACTTTTCAAGTATATCATCAATTATTCAAACATATGTCTGATGAATGATCAATAATAACAATAATAAAAAATATGGTTACATTGGTGATGTTTTAATTAGAAAAGTAACAAATTACATGTCCCTTACCCCTTTCCCTGGAATACTTATAGGATGCAACTGCCCAGTGGCGAGACCTTGCGCTCCTCCCACTTGAATGATTTGATTTGGAAGTAATGTAGCACTTCCTCCAGCCTGTTTCAAAATTATTCGCTGTGTTCCTTTTCCAGATGTGGTTATTTGAGGGGCAGGCAAAATTTTGGTAGGAAATTTACTCACCTTCAAATTGTATATTAATAACAACTGCAAGTCAAATGGATTTCAAACTGTTTCCTTACCTGAGGCATAATCTTTACCGGTTTATTTTGTGTTTTATTCATAAAAATAGCCTGTTTTGTAACAGGTTGAGTAACAATTTTAGCACCGGTTAAAAGCCCCATTTGCTGTGCTTGTGCCAGCGTGATAGTCTTGGAGGGGCTAGAAATTATCGTACTACCACCTTGGTTGGTGGCAAGTTTCACAGTTTGTCCTCCATCTGCTTTCTGAGTAAGTAGAATACCTGTTGACTTCCCATCCACTAAAAAATAAGTGGTAACCATTACTGTTTAATTAGATTCTTGGTTTCTTTTTAGTTTAAACCGACCAACGGAAGCAATTTTTTGTCCTTGAACATTGCTGGAGATTTTTCGCACCATAATCTGTTTTGGTTGCACAACAGACACCCCTGTACCCTGTGTACCACTTACAGCGACCGTCTTAACTGCAGGTTTAAAGGCAAGTGGTTTCGCAAAATTTGCCAGACTAATGCTTTGTCCTTGAGGTGATAAAAATTTAATCGCTTGACCAGGAGATCCACCTTTAAATGAAAAACATTAATCTCTCAATTTAGTGAAAATCTGGTAACAATAATACCTTGAACGAGAAATAATTGCTGTCCTGAAACAGCAGCCGGTTTTAAAGAAATTGGCACCTTAGTTGTTGGAGGTTTTGGTGCTATTGTCAGAGGACGTAAAGGAGGGACTATTGTGACTTTACTATTCTTGAAATCAGGATGAATCTCATCTGGAGAATCGACTCTTTCTGTTTCTATTTCTATCTCTTGGGCACCAATCTCAGGTTCAGTCATTTCTTTCTCATCCTCATCATCTTGAAAAGAATCGTTTTTCTCAGAATCTCCCTCTGAAATATATATTTAATGTTCACATTTACTTTATATAAAACATATTATGAAAATAAATAAAATAATCACTTAATTAAAATATAGAAATACCTTGACTATCCATCTCGGAATCTGTAAATTGTATTTCTTTAGAAAGTTGCACAAAGTGTTCTAAATCACTTGCAGTAAGTGTAAGGGTAGCTTCGCTTACATCACTTTTACCTGTAAGAATTCATATTATGAGATGTGTTACTGTTTGTTTTACATGAAATGCTAATATACTGACGTTCAATAATAATATAACAACTGGAAATTGATGACTGAATGCCACTTGTAAAAAAGCAAAATTTGGTAAGTACTTACCATTCAAGAATGCAATTAGAAAGTTTGTATGATGTTATTAAATGTAAATGAAACGATAAAGGAAACGAAGAAATTGATGCCAAGCTACAGTTTTTGTGAAACTGCTACACCAATTCCATAATTTGAAATTGAAAGGTCATGACGATATTTCAAATTCAAACGCTAACTTTTACTTAACCTAAAAAGGTATTTTTAACAATATAAAAAAACTACAACACTTTTATGCAGCTAAAGAAATAGACTTCGTTTTCGGCAGAATGTAAATTATACCATTTTTTTTTGAAATATTATCAAATTATCATGATAAAGAGATAAGAGTGTTTAGAATTTAGATCATAAACAAAATATTTGGAATTAAGTAAAGTTATTCTAATAAAAACTTACAACGTACCTTTCTTAACAAATGACATTCTCTATCAAATAAACTAAAGTAATTCACTAAGAAACTTAACGTAAGCATAAATATTAAGGATATTTTCGAATTTGTAATTCAATTTCGTTTTGAAGTACGCTTAACAAAACTTAACTGCATGGTCACGTGACCACATTTGTTAACAATGTTGTCAAATGAACTGTGCTGATGAGGCTGTAAAACCCTATGGTTTCTTAAATATAATAATTATTTCGGTTTTGTTACCATCACAGTAAAATAGACAGTTACCATTAAATAATTTATTTAATTTTAGTACTATTAGCTTCCAGAGACTTTAAAATTACTATTTTCAAAATTTGCTTAGGTTAGGTTATGGTTTTATATATTTTAAATATGACGTACACAAGGACTTATATTTTAATGATTATTTATCTAGTACGTTGTTATTCTTGGTCGAGTTTATACTTTATCATTTTCATCAAATTTGGCGTTTTTTTTCTATGACAGTGACATTTTTATATTGAATACAGTAACTTGTAATGGTAACTTTATTATGCCGTTCGTTATTTGACTCTTAAATATTTCTTATATATTATATTTTCTAAAATTAAAACCAGTTTTACGAATAAATAGGAATAATGTGCGACTCAAATAAGAAGACATGCCCCGGAAGAATTACAACGGGAGCATGTGACGCTGCTTCGAGGGGGCCAACTCGTCTTGTAAGTAATTTATATTACATTAATTTACATTCGGTAATATTTCCAAAATGGTCTTCTGTTCTTTGTCTTACGATTAAATGAAAAACAAAAGACATTATAACAAAGAAAATGTTATAGGTTTTTGTATTGTTACTTTCTATTTCTATTTTGCAATGAAAAAAAAAATTATTTTACAATTAAAAGTATCTTATAGTACCCATAATTTAATTATCGTGCTAAAACTTGCCATGTCATCTATATGGCAACGATGTACTACATTTGATCACATGTTCTTGCCATCCCTTGGTAGGTT